AAGCGATGACGTCAATCGGTAGGAAAAAAACCTTGCAATCGTCAACAAAATCAGTTCATTTGCTCGAAGCAAGCAGAACACTATTGGGATCCTATCAATTTTTGAAACTTTTTGATAAAAGTAAAAAAAGATGATGATGAAGTTGAAAGTTTTTGGAAGTATTTGTATTCTTGTTCTCTTGGCGACTGTTTCTGCGACGAATACAAGTAAGTCCAGTCCGTTTAATCTTATTCAATTTCAATTTTTAGATACTTTAAAAGCGATTATATTTTTTTTATAAAGGTCTATTCAAATAATTATAGTAAACTATCTTATCAATACGTACAATTTCAAACGTAATCTCTTTTGTGGCTGTCACAAGGTGAATAAACCATCCCATTTTACACCCTTCCACGGTTTTTTCAACTTTTTACTATACATACACTAGCTAGCAAAAATCCATCGATAATGCTAGAAAAAAAACACCTCAAAATTAGTAAATTTATCAAGTTTGAGAGTAATAAATTGGAAACAGACGAAAATGTAGTCATGCGAAGTCATGCAATTTTACAGACGTTATTTGTATGATGGGGGTCACAAGCTTGCCCCACCGTACGAACGTCTGTAAAATTTCGCAACTTTACGGAGCTAAATCGTTGCCATTTTCCAACCTATCACCCTCTAACTTGGAGAATTTGCTAATTTTGAGGTGCTCTTTCCAATGGTGTTGATCGATTTTTGCTAACTTGCTCATATGAAAAGTTGAAAAAGGGTTATGAAAAGAGGTTTGAGCTCCAGGGATGCATGATTCTCGCTATCAAACTATGCGCTAAAATTGCCTGTGTTTGCTTGGTCCGCGTAGCAAAACTCACAATCCAAATAGCCTTATAATATTCTCTGCTCAAAGTTAAGTTCTTCTGCACACATTTGAAGTAGTTTTATAGAAATTGGACAATTCAAAACATTTTAATTTAGAACAGCAAAAAGAAAAGGCCACAAAGTTACAGTGCTCGTCATCTTTCTAATTTTATGAAATTACAGTCGTTAGCTATTGGGAAACGGTTCTTCCGAAAAATGAATTTTTAATTTTGGGGAAGTGCGCTCTTTGGGAAAGAATTTATTTTGGCTCATTATACATGCAAAAGTCTATTTCTCAGAATACCCGTTTCCGTCTCGGCTTCAACTGACAATGATTTTGCAAATGAATGCATACTTTAACTTCAAACATCATTTTCGATATCATACTGATAACTTGAATCAGTCTGATAGATTTCGCGTTGTTTACATCAGAAGCTGTTTCTATTTTTTATTTTTTGCAAGCATGACAACAATCAAAGTTTAATATGTATAACTCTTGAACAGTTATAGTTTTGCTTCTCTAGAGTCATTTTTATATAAGTCAAGTCGCTTTTATAAAAAAAAAAATATGGTGAAATCAGTGTAGCTGATAATGTTGATAAGAAGTCAGTCATGTAGAATGTAGAAAGAAGGTTGGTCGCGTCGGTCATCAGTCAGTCAGTCGGTCAGTTAGTTAATATCGCTGTGCTTATGGTTATTTCATTGGTGAAAACAACACACTAATCCTTAATATCTCAAAACCAACAGCAACGACAGCAGCACCAACAACAACCGCAGCACCAACAACAACTGCAGCACCAACAACAACCGCAGCACCATCAACAACCGCAGCACCAACAACAACCGCAGCACCAACAACAACCGCAGCACCAACAACA